CGGCTGAAAAAAAAAAAAAAAAAAAATCAAGGCTAATTTCCTTCCTGTGTTTTGTGAGTGGCGCGGTGTATTTTCTAGTTCCTTCTTTCTGATTCGAGTTTACGATTCCTACTAGGGAGAAATGGCTCATGAATATTAACTACCTAAGTCTAGCCGATTGGCTGAGAGCGGAAACAGTTAGCGAATGAGCGAAGTGTACTCTAATGAAGGCTGGGCTTGCGTATGTTAATTAGGTCGCGTGATTGACCGCATCCGGAAGGTTTCAAAGATACGTCGGCAGGACGTAATTAATATTCATGAGCTAAGCCGTCGCCATAGTATCCGTGATTTCGGCCATGGTGAGTTTGTCAGGGCGGTGTCTGCAGCGTTTAAACTTTGTCCTCAAGTGTACTGAGCAGCCATTTGCGTTATTATTGTACGATATTTGTGTCAAAGGTTACATAGTGAATATGTAGTTTGCTTCACACATACAATATTTAAAGTTAAAAGGACAAGTTGTCAGCATTTGATAACAATGCACATGTTGCTGTAATAACAATGTGTTGTCTGTACTTTATTTTAAGTTTGAGTTAAAGTTAGACTTAAAAATATGACTAGATGTTTAATGCGTGCACCTGTCCAACAACAAGTGTTTATTGTCATAAAAGTAAGAGAAGTGTGAAACTGCTGTGATATGTTTCTTTGCAGATAAAGAGCGAGGGCGGCGGCGGCGGCTCTGTCCTATATACTTGACCACAATTCAATATTTCAGCGCTATTAGGGGAAACTGAAGGCAAAGCAGGTTGAATTTATGTTGAACGTCTGTGTATGTGCTTATGTCAAAATTTAGTCTACCTTCCTATAGGAACTGCAGTGTTTTTGATGAATTTTGATGAAACCGGGATAATGTAAAGCAAAAACAAACATGTTCTCTTAGTGGGCTTTGTTCATGGCACTGTCTCGATTGTGTAGTTCAGCCGATTGAATGAATGAATAATAGATTTAGATTTCCTTTATGTAGTCTTTCAGGCTGATACAGCAGCAGTGAGACGGACATCAAAGAGCTGTGATGAGAAGCCACATAAAGGTCAGGCCTGATGGGCCATCACTGATATGACCAACTCTGTAAGTGATCCCGCGGGCGCTCGAGGCTTTTATTGACCCCAGTCAAGGTAGAAGCTACGGCTTATTTTTAGCCTTTTGATGATTTGTACAGACAGGCCTAAATCTATTTCTGTGTTTGCCCTGAAACCGCTTGAAACGGTGCTTTTATTTCTTCAGTCAGAGAAACATGTCAATCATGTCAACAACAACAAAACCTTCTAGCCAAATCGATTAAAAATGTTTAATATTTGGCCTAAAATTGGTAAAAAATAACACTGTTGTTCACTGAATCAGCTTAAGTGAAACTATTTAGTCATATTTGTTATGGACCAGTATTACAGTACACGGTACGAAACCGCAATATTCACCTGCATATCCTTCTGCGGAGTCATTTTAATATTTTAAAAGCTGAGACTTTGTGGAAAGGCAAGCTCAATTTTACACTTAGCACTAGGGCTGGGTTTTGACACAAATGTCACGATTCGATTCTCATTCACAAGCTTGCGATTCGATTACCGATTCGATTCAATATCGATTCTTTTGGATATGTATCGGGTACAGTACATGCCAAATTTTTTCAGGGAAAAAAAATCTCACAACTAATGCTGTAAAATATACATGAGAGTCAGTTGGTACAAGCTTACTATAATATTAAAGGTTAAAATGGACTGATTTGTTAAAATTACACCTAATGAAGTTTTTAAAATAATAAAGTTACGATTACATAATATTTCTACTTCAATTCGTTTTTTTAATATAAACGTAACGGTGGCTGTCATAAAAACGTATATTAAACATTGAAGAACAGTACAATTTATAATGAATATGTTGTTTGGTGCATATATTTAGCAAAATGCCCCTCTCTACAGTTTATTTTTCTATATGATTAATGAGTTTATGGTCACCGAGTATGGTTTCTGAGGTAAATGTGATGTTACATGAATTGGTTACAAGCTGTTATGTTGACGTCTCTGCGCGGCTGAAACACTGATTGAGCGATAACATGAGACCGGATACAGATTGTAAAGTTGTACTCTTTCTTTTAACTTGTCTTCGGATGTTTAGTCATGTTTATTTTGTGCTGTTACATTAAACAGCGCCAAAACGGCATTTATTGTTTGAATACTGCAATGCAATGGACAGAATTTGAAATCTGAGTAGTGGTCGACCGATATATCGGCCGATATTTGGCACTTTTCAAATATCGGCATCGACCGATTAGATTTTCTGTTTGGCCGATGCGTTCGTTGCGGGACTTTTATTTTGACGGCGGCAGCACCTGAACACACAGTGCTCACATTCTCCCTCTTGTTCGCCGTCGTCGTTAACAGTTCTGTCTAATACGGATAGAAGTCTGTCTAATAATCAGATAGGATGTCAAATAAAGGAATTAAAATGTATACAAAAAAGTATTATAACGATTGCTTTTATATTGTTAGTAAAAGAAAAGCAAACATTATATAATACTTTCTCGTTTGCCGTCAGCATTCAGCAAATACGCATTTACATCATTTAAACAAATCTTTGAATGACTAATGAACATCTAATTTCCAAAACCTTGCAAACTTAGTCGAATCCAGCTGTGAGATCTTATGAAGTGTTCAGCTTCATTGAGACGTGCGATCGACAAACTTTAAACTCATGATTTCAAATTATGCTGCGCTTTATGCATTTGCCCACTGTCATATTCATGTCATTTTCACTGTGTGCTGTATGTAAAATGAGTGTTACCATGGCTTTATTTGAAAAAATATGATTCCCAATGCACACAGACGTCCCAGAATACTGAGTGCTCTGTTGGTTACAGTTTTTACTTCCTTTTTTAATTATATTTTTATTAAATATTTGTTTATTTGTGAAAAATACTTTTTCATTTAAAGTACAAGCATGTTTATTTTACACATTTATTTTTTAATCAATTTTCAAATGATTTAAAATTTCTTAAATATTAAATAAAATTATATCGGCCATCGGCCACACTGCTTTCCAAGATATCGGCATCGGCTGCCAAAAAACCAATATCGGTCGACCACTAAATCTGAGACTTTGTTTCATATTAAAAGTACCAAAGCACAATGCTTATTGCGATATATTGGATGGGAAGTGCCCTTCAATGTTCCGTCCATTAACTGAAAACAGGCTGTCCCAATCAATTCTTGGGATTTAAGAATCGATATCGTTCCGTAAAAATGAGAATCGATTAATATCGAGTTATCAATATTTTTTTACCCAGCCCTACTTGTCACTGTAAAATGTGTGAAATTCATAATGCTAATGCAAATATGTGTTGCACTTGCTGTAAGGAGCTGTATAGTGGGCATTAGCGTAAGCAACAGTTTGAGGAAAATCTTGAAAAGCAAGTTTGTTGTACAATGTTAAGCATGTGGACTGGGAAAGTATTTCGCAGTGCTTTTTCCTGGAATTTACATTCGTGTTTGCATACTTGCATGTACTTATACCTCTGTACATTTATTGGGGGGGGGGGTGCTATACCGGTTTAAGTGGAAAATCAGTACAACATTTTCAACCATCTCGTTCATTCAAGTTTGCACACATTAAATGAGACTGTCTTAAAAGTTAGGCTCCAATTTCTAAACTGCTTTTTATTAACTAAAAAGTTAATAAAAGCACATTAAGCTGTGAAAGAACTTAAGATAAAGAAAATACTTGTGAAAGTATAAACTTTTAAATTCAATGATATATAATATTAAAATATATATATATAGTGCGAGTTTTGATTTTATGCCAACTTTGTAAAAACCACTGATTGTAAAATAAATTTTACATTCGTAATCTGCTTTATCATTTTGTTTTATTACTGACTTTTTACTTGTCTTCAGTAACTTGTCTTTCTACATTTGTTAGCCTCATAGTAATTTTTACTGTGGTTTCGAGAATGTTTTGCGGTTATCTGAAGTTTTGGATTTGTAACAACTTTATTTAAGTCAGCACTGCTGACCCTCCGCTGATGCAGGCTGTGGTATTGATTGTGTAGTATGAGGCTCATGGCTGTTGCTAGGGAAGTCTCGTCACAATCTGGCCAAACCATAATCTCCCCCCTGAGTGAGGCTTGATGGATCTGAAGGCACCTGCCCAACACCGCATTGACCTGCTTTCACTTTCTTCCACTGCCTGGTACTCTACACTTCTCACCACATCCTTTAATAGCTTTTATTCAAACATAAATTGGATTTCTGAAGTTCTACCTCATCAAGTTGTCAGCATGTCAAAGCTTTTACTTTCAAATCGGCGTTAAACGGAAATTGTGAACAGATTTACTTCCTTTTTCTTATGTATAGCTGAATTAAACGGCTTCTCAAAACAAAGAAGAAAACGTTTGGTGGGACTTGATTTTGTCCATTGATTGAATCATTGATTTGTTGTTAATTGCTGTGATCGTTTCAGGTTGCTAGAGGGGAAGGATTAAAACTGAGATACTGTTAGTAGGGAAGCTAGCTACTAGAGATGGACCGATATATCGATTTACCGATATTTTTCCCGGTATTTAAACATTTTATAATAATCGGATATCGGTTTTGTAATATCGGATTCACAGATAAATGCCGCCATCTTGTGGATGTTTTGAGAATTGCAGCGCGTCTGAGGGGAAACAAGACAACAACAACGGGAAAGTTGTGGCCTAATGGTTAGAGAGTTGGACTCATAACCCAAAGGCAGGGATTGTAGGTGGGGGGAGTGAATGTACAGCGCTCTCTCCCACCTTCAATACCACGACTGAGGTGCCCTTGAGCAAGGCACCGAACCCCCAACTGCTCCCCAGGCGCTGCAGCAAAAATGGCTGCCCACTGCTCCAGGTGTGTGTTCACGATGTGTGTGTGTTCACTGCTGTGTGTGTACACTTTGGATGGGTTAAATGCAGAGCACTAATTCCAAGTACGGGTCACCATACTTGGCCACATGTCACGTCACTCACTTTCACAACGGCGTGCACAGGTACTTGATTTACTGTAGTTAGTAAACTTTATTTAACATAACAGCCATTATTGCACAAATTAGATGTATTACATAAATGCCTGATATGCAGTTTATGCAGCTTGGCTCGAAGAAATGGAGACAAACTCACGGAGTCATGTAAGATAATCCGTCAAGTCCTGTCCCAATAAAGACGTAACTTTGCGTGAATTAAATGAATGGGAGCATGTTGGAAATAAAAGCGCTGAATTTAATTCTCTCTCTGTTGTCTATGCTCATCATTAGTCTCGTGAAGCCGCTTTCATATTGCTGTTCACTCACCGGGTTGATGCTCAGGAAATGCTCCAGCACGGCCACCGCATGCAACTTTGAACAAGATTCACTTGTTTAAAACACCCTAAATTGTATTAA